TGGCTTGTTACTTCACAAATCCTCTGAATCTCATGATCAGTTTAATCATGCGATGTAACAACAGGATATCATTGACTTCACCTGGGAATTGAGAAGAGTAATCAGTCATCACAAACCGTACCTGAATGGGCTATGTAAAAGACCTGTACAGAACTGTACGAACTGTCGCGGGTACACTCCAGTAGTGCGTTGAACGGTTGCAGGTTTGTAGACATTGAACTCTTTGCCAGTTTTCACCTTAGTGAGTATTGGCAAAGAGGCCAATGTACACAATTCAGTTAGCGGCGTTTCCTTCACGGCCATGAATACCTGCAAAGTATCCATTTTATCATTGGAACTTCGAAGAACATAGCAGTATCGATGTGACAGTGAACACCACACTGATTCTTAGGCTATCGCCAAAGAGAATCTTCGGAAGTCAGATCTGACAAGAGCAGAAATCCAAAGCCTACCGAGCGAATGAGAAATGGGATATGCGAGGTTTGTTGCTGTTGCACAAGTTTTATTTCAAAACCTGTTCAACAAGTCTTATGTGGCAGCGTAGGCGAATCGATTGGCTTCACGCGTAAGGGCCGGGTTCCACTGCGGCTCCGCGGCTCCGCGGCACGTAATTTTTTTGGTTTTACCATGGTAACCGCGGCTCGAGCGAGTGCCGCGGAGTGGCGGCCTGCCACGGGCTTTCGCGTTGCGTTTTGTAGCGTGGTGGCTCGCCGCGATCGCGGCTTGCATTGTTCATGATCACGTGAACTGTGAAATGCTGGCGGGAAACTTGAAATCTGCTCTGAAGAAGCAAGACCGGACGACAAACAACAAGATCTGTTGTGTCTTTCACTTGTTTTGTCAGTTTCAATTTCTTTGTCAGTGTTTCTCTTCCTTCCGTTTGCGATGGGGTTCAATTGGTCGAAAGATTTGGAGCGGGCCACGCTGAAACTTTGGCATGTTGTCAGCAGCCGGTTCCAGAAGCAGATGAAGACTGCCAAAGAAAAGAGAGAGTGGCTGAGGAAAAAATTGGTGGAAATGAAGAGAGATGGCAAACTTCTGGCGAGTCACGGAGAAAATGATGTGGAGGACTTGACTGATGACGTTGTGAAGAATAAAATTGACGGACTCAAGAAGCTGGGCAAGAAGATGATGGAGAAGTGGATCGTTCCTATACTGAAAAGGAACAAAAAGGAGCCCCCTACTGGATCAGGAGTGGATGACGACGACCAGCAGCTTGATGGCGATGCGATTGAGGAGGTCGATTGGTCGGAAATCGAAAACAAGTGCAAGTGGCATCTCGTCAGGCTATACTTTGAACTGTTCGGCGATCACCCCACCTGGGGCTGTGGACTTGGAGGAGCTGTCGACACAGCTACTGTTGTTTGTGAGGAATCGCAAGGTGCTACCAAGCTGGTGGTTGCAGCTCCAGTTGGTGAGACCAACTCCACGTCCAGTACATCCTCTGAGGATGATGGCGCAGCACAAGGAGTACGTACAAAACGAAAGCGCCATGAGCTTGTTGATCACGACATGGACAGTGATGATGATGATGATGATGATGATGATGATACTCTCCCAGTAACTCCACCACCAAAGGCAGTGAAGGCTGAGCAGAAGGCGACGCCGACAGCAAGTGGAACGTCCCGGGTGGCGTACCAGCAGCAGCAGTTCCTGACGCAGTATGCAGACATCCAAGCCCAACAACAGGAAAAGGAGCATACATTCCAGGCAGGCACAGTGGGTTGGTCAAAGAGACAAAGACCATGATTGAGATACGAGAGGTACCTGGTTCAAGTCCTGCCTGGGTTTTTCCAGCCGTGCTGCTACCCGCAGTCAACTGGGAACTAACTTGTGGCCAGGCACAAGGGGTACATGGATGCAGCTAATGGGGTCATTCTCGGCACTTGTGCCAGTGGTTGTGAGACTTATCCACGCACCCCCATCGTTAGGCGCTGCATCTGCCGCTAGGGTTTACGGCCGTCTTGAGTTCCCTTTAGGAACAGACACTAGCTAGCAGGGAGTAGTAAAATACATTTTACTACTCCCTGCTAGCTAGCGCTAGCGTGTGTTTCGTTTTCGAACGAAACTCCTCACGAATAATCCGCGATATGCGTGTTAAAACAAAATGGCGTCACGATTTATTGAAAGTGATAGTTGGTGATACGAGTGTTCAAAACCATTTGAACTTCATACTGGTACTGTTCGTCTTCTTCTTGACATGCTCTCTTTCCATCGTCCTTAGCTTTTGTTTGTTGTGAGCTGTTTTGGCTTTCTCCTATACCTCTGGGGGATGCCAAGTGATGGTTTTGAGAGGCTGGTGATGGCTGTGAGCGAGAGTTTGCCGATCGGCGTCGTCCTCGCTATAGCGATGAAAATACTAGTTACTGCGCACCTGGCAGATATCAAAACATGTCGGAGCGTCCAGGAGCAAAGTAATCCTGGGTTTTCACTGGAATCTAGTTCCTCCAGCATCGTGTAGCCCACCGTCGGTGAATGGCTGTCCAGAAAGGTCGAACCTGGTCTTCTGCAGCATCTCGCAGTCCTGCGAGGCACACTGAATACGCCTGTCATGTATTCTACAAATAAAAATCACGAAGTAGTGGACTCTATAGTGATGAGTCTATCCTGTATGCTGCAAAAGACGCAGAAATGTGACTGGTGTCTGTACACTGGACGCCAGTACCCATCCGTCTTCTACTGCAAGATCTGTTTGACATTCGGACATACCGGTATGCAGTGGGTCGACATTGGCCTGGTTTGGCAGCTATCGTAATAGTATCTGCCTTCTTGGATGGAGCAGGTTGGCGCTTGCTCTTCGTCCGGTCCGGAATTTTCTTGTAACTCACGGTGGAGTACGCGCAGTGTTTGTGATCATCCCTGTTCACTTCAAAAAAACAAAACAAGCTTCCCTTTGTCACTCATCTTATCCCAAGTACTGAATTTGCTTACGATATTGCACCACACTTGTCACAACCTACTGCCACTGCTGACGGTGGCGACTGGTTCGTCAATGGCGGTGACCAGGCTGACTGACTAGCTTCAAGACAGGGGCCTCCTTGTCAACCCAGCCTAAAGGCAGATTTTATCGATCCAGCCTCAGCGCCATGTTGACGATGCCCTAGTGACTGTGTGTCATGGATTGCATTGCCATCAGTGATCATTGCTGTTCACCTTGGTGCAGCCCTCAACAACTGCCTCAGCCCATGGGAGTCTCAAGTGGACAAAGTTGTTTCCAAAGTAGCTCAGAAGATTGGTGCATTGTGGTGTAGGTGAGCACATAACTAGGACTTCCCAGCGCCTATTTGTCCAGGCTGCGATACTACGTGACATGCTGTACTGCACATTCTTTTCAGCACTGCAAGGCCGGCAGCTGAACCGACTGCAGGGGCCGCGCACATGCAGGCCGCCTGTTGCCAGTGCAGCATTCTGGAACGTTCTTTCCTTCTGAGATCCGTGGAATAATAACTTTCTTTGCTTCAAAGCAAGTTGCTTACCTTTCTGTTGTGCTCCTAGTGTCCATACAACAATAACCTACTGCAATGTTTTATTTTCCTTTCCATTCCCCAACCACTGAATACTACAATGTCGATTCTCTTTCTGCATACTTAAAGGGGCACTCCGGCTTCATTTTCGACGCCGAGTTTTCGATGCCAAGACGAAGGTTGGTGAAAGAGAAGACGCCTCGAACAAGAACGAGTCTCAGAAGCGATAGAGTCGAGCAGGAAGACGACTTTTGAATTTCGCCGAGCGAGCGCTGATGACGTAATGAGGGATTAGCTTGCCAGTGGAAATGTATCTGCGCACATACATTTCGCATACTTTTTGGCCAATTTTCAATCGAAGAGGAGGTTTTTTTCTATGTTCTCTCAACGTCGTGAGCGATCCCATCTTCTATATCCTTCCAGGTACCCTGAAGGTCCTCCAGAGGAGAATTTATCTCCAGCAAAGCGTTGTTGATCCGCTAAATTCGTCTTGAGACATATTCACCCAGTGCAGTGCTGAAAAATGTAGAATGTTGAATCTGTGATAATTGTCGACGATGGAGAGAGAGGTTGATAGGCGCTGTCGCAGGGAAAGTGAAGCTGCTGGAAGTAACAACGGGGAGTTTGTTAGCATCACATGAGCATCCAGACTTCAAAGCAGCTTGACGGAATCGGGGAGTACTGACCATTTGTCTCGCCCTCAGTTTAGTGAATTTTATGACCAGGAATTATTCGATCAGGATCCCTTCTACAAGATATGTAGTACAGGTGATTTCTGAACTTGACGATATGGAGACGGACCAGTAGACCTACCAACAACGTGTACCTGCAGGAGATTCACCCAAGGATATTGCTATCCTCTTCAGTGGCTGTTGTTTTTTAGTAAAAAATATGTTCACTTCTCTCAACATACTCCTGCATGGCAGCAAGAAGGTGCGCTATGGAATTCAACGCCACAATCTTCGCCCAGCTGTGGATGAAGCATGGTCAAGTCATGGCAGTACACATACTTGAAACAGATGAGAAATTGAAGTTCATTTGTGATGGGAAGTTTGACAGCCCCAGTGACCGAGTCAAGCGTTGTCTTTTGCCGTGGCACAAATTGCTGAAGAATCCGAGATGGTCTTGGAATTATGCACATGGATACTACCAGAAATAATGGTGGCATGAACCATTGTGGAATGGGACAGCTCACGGAGAATACTGGAATAGCTCAAATATCTCTAGGTGATTGTAAATCCTGTTCTGGCTGATAGCTTCGGCCTGCTGCGCCCGTCCATGTACAATGATGGTAACATGCATTTCTGTTTTCTACATATTTGCTGGCTACTGTACTGTGGTATTACAGTTGCAGGTCCCTTATATATAGAAATATGTTCAACCCCTCCCCCCTCCCCCTCCCACATACCCACATTATAAATATGAACTAACAATTTCACTGTTGGACTCGACGGCGGCTACAACATAATTATAGAGAGCAAAGAATTAATTTATAGCAAAGAAAAGGACCAGGGGACTACAAGTTATGCTATGATGTCCACGAACAATTTCACTGTATTTGAAATAATTTTGTTTGATACCCTGAGAACTCTGAAACTTTGCAGCACTGTGGATTATATGTGGATACAACATTTATGGAAGGAAAAGTGGAATATTCCAACACATTGTTCAAATAATTATAGCACTGTTGAGATTGTGAGCACATTCCAATCAGCACTCTACATATTTATAAGCGGTGGCAATCGTTAGGACTAGGTCATGAGTTGTCAGAGTGCTCTAGTACATGAGAGAATGTTTTGTTTGTCTAATCGGGTATCAGCTTGCAAAGATGGCTCCTCTCTGTTTCTTGAAAGCCTGTATAGTTGGACTGTGGCTCCAGCGATTCCCTTCTCAGAGCAGATACCATACCCAATTCGGTCAATGCATATTGGACAGACCTGTCTACACAACAGAAATAGTGGAGAGAAATCTCTCAGCTCATGAACACATCAGTGAAGTTTGAACTGCCGTTGTTTGTGGCCATCAGTATAAACCTATCGACTATAAGAATAATGCGCAAGAAAAACCTCGACCGTAAAATCCCGCCAGAGCGCCCCGTCTCTCCCATCCGCCCCTCCCTGACTTCTTGTCAGGGACGTGATTGATTGTATCCTCGTATGACTCTGTCGCAGTCTGTGATGCCGTACTGCACTGCAGACGTGTGCTCGACCCCGTTGGAAATGTACGCAACAGTGCCCACCCTCCTGACCAGGGATCGCACAAACCCTGCATTTTGTCGGATCTGTTCGACTCCTGGCTCTTGACATTTGGTCGGTGTACGAGATGCACGAACAGTTTTCGTAGGATGAGTACTTTTCATGTGGCACTGAATGCGGCAAGTAGGACTCGCCCATCCGCCCCTCCCCACCTGAAGCGTGGAGGAGGTAGGGGCGCTCTGGCGGGATTTTACGGTATAACTACAGCTGGGGCCATGGAATTATAAAGCATCTAACTTTGGGAACTGCCTATTCTGGTCTGAGTTGCGTTCGAGGCCTGGAATTCATGATGGCTATCGTATGTTGCATTGACCAGAGATCATATAAAACTTCCAAAATGCCACATTGAAACACGCACCACTTTCGAGTACTTTGGTATCCCCACCAAATGGGCATTCGTTCCCGGGGTGGCAGGCGTCACCATTCGTTATGCCTGGATCAGATTTCATTGACCCCAACTGTCATGAAGAATCATTTTTACTTTGACTGGATTTCAGTACAAGTTGTAGAACTGCAGAATCAATTATTTTTGTTGTATTTGGGCAACCATTTCTCTACATTTCTCTATTTGGAAACTTATGATAGAATTTTTTTTATAAAATACATGTCCAAATTCCACATCTACCCAAATCGGAATACTTGATCACGTATTCAGTACTAAACGGAATGTTTAGAAACCGCCAGGGAATAGGAATGTGCTAACGAGAACTCCAGGCCAGGGTACTAGCATACGAACAAAACAAGATAAAAACTCACCAGTATACTTGTAGTAATTCATGTCGGTGTAATATTCACGATAAGCAACGAGGCACCCTCCGATTTGGTCAAGCTGCTTTGAAGTCTGGTTGTTCAGATGATACAAACGGGCTCCCCATTGTTACTTCCAGCAGCTTCACTCTCCCTGCGACAGCGGCTATCAGCCTCTCTCTCTCCATCGTCGACAATTATCACAGATTCAACATTCTACATTTATCAGCACTGAATATGTCTCGAGACGAATTTAGCGGATCAACAACGATTTGCTGGAGATAAATTCTCGTCTGGAGGACCTTCAGGGTACCTGGAAGGATATAGAAGATGGGATCGCTCACGACGTTGGGAGAACATAGAAAACAACCTCCTCTTCGATTGAAAATTGGACAAAAAGTGTGTAAAATGTATGTGCGCAGGTGCATTTCCACTGGCAAGCTAATCCCTCATTACGTCATCAGCGCTCGCTCGGCGAAATTCAAAAGTCGTCTTCCTGCTCGACTCGATCGCTTCTGGAGACTCGTTCTTGTTCGAGGGGTCTTCTCTTTCACCTACCTTAAAATGAAGCCGGAGTGCCCCTTTAAGTGTGTGCCAGCGCGCGCACGTGTGTGTGACAATAACGTACAACTGCGCAACTTCAGTAATGTAGTCCTCTCTCTGCATCTATCTCTTTCTCTCTCTCTGTCTATCTCTTTCTCTCTCTCTCTCTCTCTCTCTCTCTCTCTCTCTCTCTCTCTCTCTCTCTCTCTCTCTCTCTCTCTCTCTCTCTCTCTCTCTCTCTCTCTATCTATCTCTTTCTCTCTCTCTCTATCTATCTCTTTCTCTCTCTCTCTCTATCTATCTCTTTCTCTCTCTCTCTATCTATCTCTTTCTCTCTCTCTCTCTATCTATCTATCTCTCTTCTAGTCTTGCATTCTTCATACTCTCATGTAATATTGCCTTGCTTTCTTCGTCATTCTGTGAGAGCTTGACCACTAGTAATGCACTTATCCAGGCAAAAAGGCAGCAATGCTTGTTTATTCTGGCGAAGTAAAAATACACTACATCAACCAACTAAATCTCGCAATAAGCTTCAAAACCAACCCAACAGCCATGCAAGGGATCATGATGCTTCAGACACATACATCCTCTGCTTCAGACACATCCTCTGCTTCAGACACATCCTCTGCTTCCGCTCGTCCTAAACCTTTGCTTTGGGGTGTGGACGGTGCCATAATTATCAATTAACCCACATGCATGCACGCATACACACAATAAAACTTAAAACAAACAAAACATCAATATGCACATTTATCCAGACACGCTCTCACATACACACGCACGCATGTGCGTGCCAAACGTACAACACGTGGACACATGTACACCAAGCAGATAGAATACAAGGAAGTGGGGTTTGCCATAGTTTAAAAAAAATTTCTCTGATAAATATTTACGAGACTGCATCTAGCGATACCGTGGATAACATTGAGCCAAGAATTATGCAATAAACCAGAAGAGATATCTCTTCACAAGTAGGCAAATAAATGCGTAGGTGCCCGGCAACAGCAATCGAGCGAGTCACAGCAATGTACGTATTGCAACTTCAATGATACACATACACGGTTGACCACCCATGCCTCCATTTTCGGCCGGTCAACCACATGGTGGCCCGGCAACTTCAAACGGGAACACACCGATACAACAGACACAGTTGACCACCCATGCCTCCATTTTCGGCGGGTCAACCACATGGTGGCCCGGCAACTTCAAACGGGAACACACCGATACAACAGACACAGTTGACCACCCATGCCTCCATTTTCGGCGGGTCAACCACATGGTGGCCCGGCAACTTCAAACGGGAACACACCGATACAACAGACACAGTTGACCACCCATGCCTCAAACCGGCGGGTCAACCACACCACAACATACAGGTGTCCCAACACTGAGACAGTACAGCACAACACTGAGAGGCAAATGCTTTTGACCCTCCCAAAACCAGTGTATACGACCAAGCATTTCTCACGGCATCGCTCATTAGCATAACTTCCTGCAAGTAACCATGGCAAACCCCTAAGTGATACCCACAGAGCCACACCGGCACAAGGACTGCACAACAAGCGGACGGCACAACAATGTACAACACTACAAATGTACCTCACTTCTGTTCTCAACACCACATGGGCGTGGGCTGTTCCAGTCTTTGCTGCTAGCCATTGCACAGAGAGTATACCGGCTGCACGCCTGACATAGTGATCGGATGCTGCACTTCGCCAGCAGCCTGCACGGCATATGGCTGCTTCACAGACACTTGTACTCCGGTGAGCCATGAGTGTGGCCCCGCCAATGCGCACAGAATGGGAGCTCACCCGGTTGCAGTTGAGGATCCTAGTCGAGCAAATTCGGGAGAAGTAGCCGCCGTCGACGAACACAAACACTGGCCGTGAGCTGCCGGCAGTAGCGGTCAGGGACCGGAACTCGGCCATAGCCGAAACTGGGTACATCAGATTATGTGTGCGCAAATACCGGGCTTAAAGGTCTGAGTCGCTCATGAGATCATTGCTGGCAGCAATCAGAGCGGCGAGTTAAGCGGAGGAGTTGGCACCAGGCATTGGTTGGCTGTGGAAGCCAGTTCTCGGAAGCGAGTAATCACAATAGGTTCATGCTGCATCTCAGCGGCCCATTGCCCCCAAAACGATTGTCCTTGATAGAAACCGCAGAAGCCAACATCAGAGACATCCGTGAATAGCTCAAGGTCAGGGGACTTCGAACACTCGACATCGTAGAAGAAGGATTGGCCATTCCAGTTTGCGGCAAAGGAGCGCGACCATTCGATGTCCAAGTGAGCTTCTGTGTCGATGTTGACTACTGACTGAAGAGACTGAGAGAGTTGTCCAGCTAAGATACAGGATTTGACGGATGAAGGTCCTGCCAGGAGGAACCACCTTTGCGGCAAGGACAAGGTTCCGATCAGCGACAGCAGTTCCCGCGTTGTGTAGCTAGTGCGCGTGGACTACTCACTCAAAGCCGCTAGAAAGGCAAATAACTTCTTGTCAGGTAGCCGCATCACCTGGTCCTCGCTGTCGACTTCTATGCCAAGTACCGTCACCACTGTTGCTGGGCCGACCACCTTGCTGAGGTTGTCGAAGACCTGCGGAACCGTTGCTTTCAGTTGAACTCATTCCATTGACCATCAAGCACACGAACATAAGCACCTTGTTTAGTGCAGCGTACTGGTTCTTGTGCTGGCCTGCACAGCTATCAGGAATAGTTTTACCCAGAATGACTGCGTTGATGATTTCTCCCTGAGATATGGTAATGCCACGTGCACAGCAGATGTGGTGCATGACGAACGCACAGTGGGCATAAAATCTTCATATCCACATCAAAGGCCACAAGCGTTTGACAACCATACCTGATACGTAGATGATCAACGATCGTCCCTGCACTCAACGTCGCTCCAGCAGTAACGTAAAGTACCGCCAGAGCGCCCCTCCATCTCATCCTTTCGTGGTCGTATTGTGGAGGTGGGCTGCTGTCTGTAGGTCATACGACATGAACTTTGTACACATATTGCACGGTTTGCAGTCAATCCGTACCTTCGAGCGGACACAAGCTCCACACAAAACCCTGGCCTGCCAAGCATGACCTTATTATACTAAGATTATCACATCGTACAAACTTCGTTGCACTCTGCCATACGATTTTCCTTTCTCTGGCTGTAAAATCAAGGTGGGGCGCTCTCGGGAGACGGGGCGCTCTGGCGGTACTTTACGGTAGTAGCATGTTGCAAACCACCATCGTACGTTGTCCATGTAAATGCCTCTGCTCCTTGTCTACTTCTTTGGCTAGATTTTTTGACAGGTAATCACAGCCATTTCTGAGTTGGCGTCAACGCCACTCGCCATGTCGAGGCCTAAATAACTGGTCCTCTGCTTCGAGTAGTTCTTGCTTGGCCTCATGAACTCCAGGAAATTCACTACTGCGACCATGAGCTACTCTATCTGCCCACACAACAAATAAATATTTCAACCAAGCGCGATCGATCGCTGTTTGAAGTTGTGAATTTTCAAGCGCTTCCAGCTCACACGAGTCAGCGCTTGTCTACGCAGACTAGCACAACTAATTCTCTTGTACAGCTTGGCGGAGACACAAAGGAGAAAACGGAGAAAACACAAAGGAGAAAACGGAGAAAACACAACCTTGAGTCACTTTGGCTAACTGGATGACAGAAATTGTTGACAAGGAAGTAATTTTAGTTGCTTTGCTGGCCACGCAAGATTTATTTTTTCATTCACCATTTTCGGAAAAAATATTTTTATTCATGTGCCGCGTGACGAACCCGTGACAAAACACGTGCATGCGTGGGCTAACTTGGCTTTGCTGCTCAAACTCAAACTCAAAGCCGTCATTTTTTGCTTCATACGGAAAATCATGATGAGGTTAGCGAGGAAAGGGTCAGTGACAGAGATGGAGATGAGGATGCCTATGTAAAGCCGGAGTGGCACGACCAAAGGCCACCATGGGCGAGAAGACGAGATGCTCAGATATCAGCAGATCTACATGTTTTTTTGTTTTTTACAAGAGCCACGTAAACCCGGTCATGTGTGAGTCATGAATACGGGGAGTGGTGGCGTGGTCTGGGATGCTCTGCCGACCTTGGGTCTCGGCTTCATCACAACCAGGCGCGCCAATAGCAGAGAGAGAAAGAGAGGGAGGGAGGGAGAGAGAGACAGAGAGAGAGACAGAGAGACAGGCAGACAGACAGAGAGACAGACAGACAGGCAGACGGAGAGAGAGAGAAAGAGAGAGAGAGAGAGAGAGAGAGAGAGAGAGAGAGAGAGAGAGAGAGAGAGAGAGAGAGAGAGAGAGAGAGAGAGAGAGAGAGACAGACAGACAGGCAGACAGACAGGCAGACAGACAGACAGACAGAGACAGACAGACAGACAGACAGAGTATGCCCTGAAGTGAAGCAAATGAGAACTCATGCTTTCATGGCTATTGAAAGCACCTTCTCTAGAGGCGATAGGCACGCAGGCTTCTAAAGGTACCATCATTGGTGTCGCCCCGGAGGATGTCACGCACCCTGTTGCTCAGGTTCGCATGTCTTTTCCACCTTCTTCTGTTCTGACTCTGCTCATGTACAATAAGTATACACCAGTATGAGCAGGTCAGTACTTTGAATTCAGTTTTCGAGACATCCTGCATTCGTAATGGTCTTGTTCATTCGAAGAAGGCATAATTCAGGGTTCCATGTGGATCAGTTTGCAAGGCCT